AGCACTTGTCACCTTTATTATGCCAAGCATATATTTCCATATTTAGACATCTAAAAACAAACAGGAGAAGTGCATGTTCAGAAACACTGAAATAACAAGTATTTAACAGAGAAGCCAAAACATGGCTTTGTATACTAAGGGAGCACCCGATTACAGCGTGGCTGACATGTTTCTGTGCTTTTCAGCTTTCTCAGATTAAAACTAGATTTTTCTCCCTTCTAGCTATTAAAGTTCATGCAGTCAGGGGTGCCAAATTCAAATACCTGGCTCCGTCCAGAAGTCACGACAGAAACAATACAATTATATTCAATAACATTACAAGAAAAGGAAATAAACTTCCAACCTCTTGGGAACCTTGCACACTCTCTGTGGTTTATTTACATTACTGCCTCCCCAAGCTCTCCCAGAAGGAGATTTTTAGCATTGTGAGGAACTTTCAATACTGGCTGAAATAATAGTCAAGAATGAGCTGAGTTCCACTTCCCACACTGCTGTTAAGTGTCCAAAGAGCTTGGAGCCTGGAAGGATGTTGCAAATCAGACAGATGGTATAGATTCATCATTTAGAAATACATTTTCAAAACAGATGTTTTACTAGCCAACTCCTGAGTCTTATATTAAAAAGTACCCATCAGAAGAGTTCAAAGAGCACTGGGCAAGATCCCCTTGGATCTCCCTCTGATGACTCAGAAATACCATGATTAGACAAATGGGGACATAATAGAGCCCTAACAGAACACAACGTAACATAACCATGTAAGGTTGTTTCTCTTTTGCATGAATCAGGCTATTATTTGCTTGATCAGCAAGTCTGAATACAAAAGTCAGCTTTACTAGAGGGTTCATACTTACAGCTAGGCTTTGAAGTTAATCCAAAAAAATCTGCGATTCTTCTTGGCCTTTGCACAATGTCTATCTCTATCTTTGTTGACTGGTTAGGAAATTTGGGCTGCTTTATTTACTCTAACATGTCTAATCATTGCATGTCATTTAACTGTTATTTGTTACAGGAGTTTGAGTTTTAAGGTGACAGATTACAACTGTCAAGAGGCAAAGGGGTCAGCTGTTGTCAGCTAAACTAAGTGGAAGAGGAAAGAGTCACTCAATACATGACTGATCTTTTGTGGTAACAAAATATACAGGCTGATCCATATAACTTTGATGAGAAACACGAGTTATTTCATCCTAGCATGAATCAATCACTTTAAATCAAATTCTTATCATCAGGCTTGCATTAGCATATCTATGAGAAGAAAATACATAATGACAATGTGTTCCCAGTTTTAATGAGCACAAACAATTTCTTCTGCAGATCATCACATCTTCATTTGGATTGTAACACAGTTGAGAAATGCTGTATGTCACCATTATCCTGCTTTCTTTGGCATATGAAAATTTTGTACATTAATTGCTTGTGCAAAAGAGTTTGGGACGTTGCTGTAGAGACAGAAACTTTTCCTCTAAGTTTTCTTTACAAATCCATGACTGTGGGGTTCAGTCTGGCCCTTGAATAGACCTTCTTGGTTCAGAATCACCAAGTCCTGATTATTTTGACTGTATTTTAATCCTCAGTTTGAATCTGCAGATTTCAGCCTAGCTAAAAGCAGTGGTTTTTAAGCATACTTCAGTTTACTTCTGGAATAACTTTAGGAACTAGAAGTTTACAGGCTTACTAAGAGCAGATTGTGCCCTTCTTAGGAAACTAATTATGCTCTGTAATCTTTTATGGTGATGGCTGTATAACTGTTAATTTTAAAAGGAGCTGTGGAAAAGGGAACTGTTTTGAGGTGAGTGGAAGGCAACCAGATCCCATCATACTATTTGCACTCTCTCTCTTCTCAATATATAAGCTTGCATGTGGAGCAGGGGTCATGTTATTCTGGTAGCTCCTTAGCCATAAATGGGAGGATGCAACAGTTCTCTGGGGACTACCTTTTTTTACTTAGAAAAAAATCTGTTGCTCTGAGTTTTCTGAGCCTTTACAAGGCTTGTAAGTTACTATCTGAAGGAAACAGAAATACTTCCTAAGGATACAGATAAAAGGTAAAACTATCACAGCCCATAAAAAGCCTTGTTTGATAGCAAGAGTATGTAAGGACAGTGGAGTAAGCAAAAGATATACTTGTAGGAGCGTTTGCCACGGGTTCTCTGCTCCAAGGGAGCCTACAGGACGGCTCCTCCTTGCCCCTGCCTGCAGGCTGGTGTAAGGTTCCACCTCTACCTTGAGCTCAGTGAGTGAAGAGAGGTGTGGGTATAGCAAGCAGGATTTATTAAGGAGCAAGGAGGAGTTAAAGGGACTGCAGCACTGGCATTACCTGGTGTGTTTGCACACACCTGTGTCCCAAGGCACAGCTGTGACCCTTCTCTACCGTTCAGATCAGAAGGAGGGCAGAGAAGAGTGTTTCAAATCACCTGGATAAAGCATGCTCTGAAAATAACTCTCTCTCTTGCCACTGGCTACAGTTAGGCAACCAGCTTTGGCATCTAACTTTCAGATGACTAAAATTTGGTAAGATGAGTCTCACTGCTCCTGCATTAAACATGCCACTGATTTCATGCAGTTATCCTTCTTCTGAATCTAAGTCAGGCTAACTAAGCTTATAGCTAGGAAGAAGATTCTGTCTTTATTAAGATACACTAATAAAAGGAGATTTCATGTCTTCTGCAGCTACTTTGTTCCAACTGTTACACATCCTCTGTCACAACCACAGACTCAGAGAAACACTCTGTTTCTCATTAACTTTGTTTAGCTTTAATCTCTTACAGTTATTTCTTGTTACATACTAAACTGCACTTAGAAAAACTTTTATGAGGCTATTTCCCACTGAAACAGCTGTAAATAGCCTAGAAAATTGGCATCTAAGTATCTGTGCAAGGGGTTTCATTTATGTTTTTTTCACAAGACCTTGTTTTTAGCCCTCACAGAGTTAATTAGATTTCACCAGCAGAATGATAAACAGAAAGACTTGACTGGATCTGGAATGTGACAGGCCCAGTTCCCAGTAAGGGGGCTAAGCTTTATCTTTTGCTTGGTGAAGAAGATGGGGAAGGTTTACTGTAATACTGCTTGGACACTGCAGTGGTCAAAATTATCACAGATTGTTTCAGCCAAGGATAATATTGCTGCCTGTCTTCCTGTCCCTGTGTGTTAGGAAGAGTGAACTAGTGTGGTTAAGTTCTTAACTGAAGTTAACAGGGACTAGCCAGTGTGCAAAGGTCAGCTAGTCTCTTACTGGAATTAGGAAAAAATTGGAATGAAACTCACATCATATTTTCCAATACATATGTTTTTCCTGCGGAGATGCTTAGATACTGGTATTTTCTGTACAAAATTTTGTAAGAAAGACCTTTGCAAAAGCTTATACCAGGAGATGTCCATCCATTACCCTGGTTTGGAAGGACAGAGAGACATCCAAGCCATCAAGCTTTTGGGCTTAAATTTGAACCAGAGCCTGCCCTTTTTTCCCACTAGCAGATGAATCACTAAGCAAACCTAAATGAAGCACTTCCAGTCTGGCCTTTCAAACACATTTGCTAAATATGCCTCCTCTTAAAAGCATTGTATTTTTGTTAAGGCAACTGAAGAGAGGATATGAAAGTTTCTTGGGATTGATTAATAGAAAGAAAATGTACTGACAAATCAGGAATTAATTCACCTAGTATCTGAAAGGATGTCCTTTGTTACTGAGCTAAACAGAAATCACTTCCTCTCAAGCAAGGCCAGATAGTTCTGTGCTCTCTTCAGTCATAATAGTGCTAATAGCTGTTGCAGAAGAGACACAGAATGTGACCTGAAGTCCTGACAGAGAGGTAGAAAAAAACTTTCAAGTCATCCTTTTGGTAACCACTGTCGAAGAGACCTGTGACCCTCAAATGCACCCATTGTGGATTTGGAGCCATGATGGTAAGCTATTGAGCTGGCATTCAGCTTTCTGTAAATACTGTCCCATCTGCTCTCTTGTTTTTCCAGAAAAGCAAGTTAAGTAAGTGAGGAAGAATTTCTTTTATCTACTCTCACATTTGAGAAAAGAGAGAAATTAACTTAAAAGGTGCGAGTAGCTTAATTTAAAGTTCCTGTTGTAAGCTGAAGATCCTCAATTCTTCTCTTGCTAAGAGGTACTGTGGGGATAAATCATTCTTTTCCCACAGAGACAGGGAACACAGGAAGGTTCTTGCATTCCAGGTAGAAAGACTGGGGAATTCTAAATTCCTTGAAGGAGGAAGGTGATGATCAGTTTGATCAAGATAGGATCTGCAGTTATTTCCTAGTAACAGCAAACTGCATTATAAATTTCTCAATGTACTGCCCAGTGTTAAAGATATGACAACCACACAGTACTACAGACAGATGGTCAGCCGTGAGGTAACAGCTCACAGTGCAATCCCTCTGCCTTATGCAGTGTAATACAATTCTGAGATCAAATGAAGTTGGAAATGCAAGAATTTGCAAAGAGAAGTTCATTTTTTCCATGGTCTGCATTGTCCCTTCTTTGCAGTGGTAAGTCACAGATTGTCACTACATGAGTGTTGTATGTCCTATGAGCTTGATACATATTAATCTTCCCTAGATTAATGGAGAATGAATAACAATTTTTAAGCTGGACACAGTGTACACTATCTATTGTTTGGCTCCAAGAAAAACCTTTCATTGGGAAAGATGTGATGAATGCAGAGCACATCATGGAGACCTAAGAGATTATTGATTTGGGCCAGTCCAGGAAAGCAGAAACAAAACTAGAAAAGGTGTTTAAAAATAATCTTGGAATTTTCAAGTAAGATTCAGGATATGAATTTGAGAAGGAGTGATAGTGAGAAAAAGAAAAGTAAGCAGCATGCATGTGGCTTGAACAGGAACCAGTGAGATGCTATCTTTACAGAAAGTGATAACAAAAAGGATTTGCATTTGGCCCATTTAATGTCATCATTTGTATTCTTAAATATCCGGTCAAATAAAAGATGCAAGCATCTTAGCATAAAGAAAGATATTTTTGTGTGCATTACCTCCAGGAATGTTTGGGCCCACAGCCGGGATCTGATTTTCAGCGCTGCACTCTTCCCTCTTTCCAGTTGTCCCACAGTGCAGGAAATTAGGATACACTTTATATTTGTACAGTTCTGTGTGCAAAATAAAGGGAAGTCATACCTATGCTTTAAAAATGTATATAATCACTTTCAAATGCTACAAATTTGCAAAACAAATCAACTTTCCCTTAAAGAGTTAAGTAGTCTGAAATCAGTAATTTAATCTAATATACATGAGATACCCCATGAGTCCTTGTGAGAACTATAAACCAACGGGGAGATTCTTTTTGCACCATCAGTGAATACAACCTCCTACCTGTAGTAATGAAAATGAAAGTAATAATTTTCAATAGTATCTAGTCTGAAGAACTCTCAAAATTACAGGTACTCCAGGTACTTATCAATCCTTTGAAACATGTGCTTTGTCTTTATCTATCAGTTATTTAGTGATTTCAACACGTGTTTTTTTCTATTCTCCATGCCTGAAGTCTTTATGTACGTTCCTAAATGTTTCCCCTGTTCTAACTCTCCTGGTTTTCTTACTGATATTTACATTACAGCAGCCAGAACATTTGCTGAGATTCATTAATTGCTCTACTTGAAACTTGTTGTCCGTGAAACATTCCTGATGAGCAGTGATTCTGGCTCATACACAGGGCCAAAGACAAAAGCCAAGCAATGCAACTCAAAACTACACAAAGTCTGCCAGAAGAATGTCACAAAAAAGCTTGAAAGCTGACTGGAAGCCACTGCAGGGAATGAGTACAGTCTCATGGGGTAACCACAGAAATGGTGCGGTTGGTTGCGGCATGGAAAGGACGAAAGATCATAGAACCATAGAATCACAGAATGGTTTGGGTTGGAAGGGACCTCAAAAGATCATGTAGTTCCAAACACCCTGCCATGGGCAGGGACACCTTCCACTAGACCAGATCTCACAGAAAAATGATTAAAAGTGTGTAAAAAAATGTATAGGTTTATATATACAAATGGGTTTTACCTAATAAGTTTTGGTTTGATTCAGGAGGAAGGCTGAGGTTTTAATTGATTCATATTTTTATAACAAAGCAGAGAATCCTTCCCTTACAGATGCTGTACTGACTCTCATGACAGAAGGTCTTGTGACCTGGAGAGCAAAGCTAAGTTTTCACAAATACATTCCCTTAGGAGAGTGAGAATGGCTGTGCTACCGAAGCCCATACTTCAGAAAATGAGATGATGATGTATGTAACAGATCTGAAAACACCCTTAAGGAATCCTCTATCAGCTTTCCCCACAAATGTCTATCTTATTACAAGTTCAGTAGAAACTGTATGCTTAATCACTGTTTTCTAAATCTGCCTGAAAATTAAACTGTAAACCCTGGAACTTGCAACTATAAACCTTTTTTTAAAATTAATATTTCAAAGTATCTGTTTATTTGGCTTTTCACATTTAAACATCCTCCAACCAGATTTATTTATCTTGCAGGAAGGAGGAGAGCTCTTTTCATTAATCATAGTGGCCAAAAACATATATTAACAAAATAAATCATTAGTATGCAAAAAAATCTGCTTTTGGCTGACATTTTAGGACCTGAACACATATTTCTATTTTTCTTAGCAATGCATTTAGTCTGTAGTGATTTTCAGAACACTGTAACATTAGAACTAATGGAAGAGAAACCAAATGTTTAATAAACTGTATAAATACAATAAGAGCTTCTCAGAACATTTTTCTTCTCTCTGAAAATGCTTTGATGAAAATGAAATTAACTTAAAATTTCTGACCAAAAAAAATTACAGATTTTAACAAAGAATGACCTTTGGCCAATCAGTCATTTTCTGGAGCAACATTCACTTTTAACGTGTACTTCAAATGTGTAAAATTTTTTTTAATTTTTTTCTGGATCTGTAGCATGCAGTGTTGAGGGCACATAGAATTGGGACACCTTTCTAAATGAACAAATGACATAGTGCTTTTCTATGCCCATCCTGAAAAAGTCCAGTGGTAAGCACAGTACCCAATCCTAATTTGTGCTTATCGAAAGCATACTGTACTAGAAGACTGCTCATCACAGTGTCAATTTTATATTACTAAGTACTCAGCTAAATACTATCTACATCATGCAGCTGAAAAATCTCTGCTTTGTATTTTAAGATGCAGACACAGTACATACTTGAGAACTTTGTTAACCACTTTCAGTTGCTGCAGTAATTTCTATGTTGGCAGCATATGAGCCTAATCACTGAGAAAGATAACTGATAATTAAGGTATTACTGAAGAACGGATTAAGTGTTCTGTGGTATAGACTGGTATGTCTTTGAAAGCCCCAGCATTTTTCCTTCAGCCCCCGTGGAATCAGGTTCTTCCCAGGGTATTAGGTTGATGAAAGAATTACATAGGAATCAGCAGTGATTACTGTTTAAAATGAGTTCATCTGTGATTTTGTTCTTAATAACATTATGGTATTCATTACTTTCAGATTCTATCTTCTTCCTGTTACAAAAATTGCCAAATTAACTTTCAGAAGCAACATAATTATTCTATTACTCCAGAATACTTAGGTCTGTGAGGCTCTTTTTTTCCTATCAAATTCTGGTGATGTCAAGGAATTCAAACATGAGGTCACAGTAAACAGCTTAATAAGAAACTGGACAGCGTGAAAGAAACTCTGCCTAAGGTTCATAAAAATCAATGGATAGCACTTACTGCATGAATCCCATGACTGGCCTCAAGGTCACCAAGTCTGAACACAGCCTATAGGCAAGGGGAGCTGATACCTACAATGCTGAGGTATGCTAAGGATGGGACACTGAATGAAGGAACCAAAAAAACCCCCAACCTTCTGAAAATACAGCCAAGTCCAAATACTCAGGTACCAGACTGACTAATAAGATCTATTTTCCCGGGAAAGAGATCTTTGCTCTTGCTCCAGCATTGTTAAAAATGCAGTGACCTGTCCCATTTGCCTTGCTTGTGGTACTGTAAAGGGAAAACTTTTCCACGTGTATACAAGGACTTACTGGGGGGAACAAACATACTCCAAGCTATTTGTACGTCAGAACTGTTACTTTACATGAAAATCTTAATTTTAAGCGTGAGCTACTCTTTACAAAAGAGTCAGAATGCTAGGAGTCAAGTTAACAAGCAGAGACCTACATTTCAAAAACCAGAATCTGAAATTTAATTTGTGGAAGAGTGTCCAGTTCTTTAAATCTGTGCTGAAATTCTCTGTGATAAGTGTGCCACTGCATGACCACAAAGGTTTGTCTGCAAACAGCCAGGAGTAAAACAGCCAGGAATTTGGCATGCATGATCTTTAATGTAAAAATCTGTCAAACAAAATCGCTAAGCTGTGGCATGGTGATACATAATAAAAATATTTTAAACTGAAACGTTAAAAATCACTTAAAATAGTATTTAAGAGTCTGCAAATAAATTGCAGTCACACCAACAGCCACCTTGATATATTGCATGCACAGTGCCAGTTTATACTTTTTAGACAGCTCACCAATATTTTTGCAGAGTTTTTCCTGTGAGGTTCTGCCACTGTGACATCCCTTCTCCTGATGTAATGAGAAATTGTGGAATTATATAAAAAAGCAGCAAGTTCAGGAGTGTCTTGTGGAATAGCAAACTGGAAAGAGAAAAAATGTGAATGGTAATGACATTCATACAATGATTCTAACAGATTTGTTCTCCTCTCAGAGGTCTTGAATTTTGGATTAACACTGGTTTTTTTTTTCAATTTAACAGCACAGCCATGAGAATATAATGTCTTTAACTAGGATCATGATTAGTAATAGCACAGCAAGATATTGCACAGTTATAGGAATTACAGTAGATAACATTTTTTCCACTTTTTACTGGTGTCAGTTTCATTGATGCATGTAATTTTGTTAGACCCTTGGGGCCAGATTCTGATCTCTGTTACAGGATAAATTCAAAGTTGCTGCACTGAAATCTAGTCATTAGTTCAGATCAGAATCTGCCTGTTGAAATATAATGATTTAACCAGTTTTAGAAAGTAAAAGAAAATTAAAAAAAAAAAAAAAAGGAAAACTGAATTCTAGCAACACAACTTTTGATCATTATTTGTTACAGATTTCTTTTGGTAACAACTCAACTTCATATAATGCAACAGTTTGTTCATTTTTAATCTCATATTAAAATGCATTCTCTTCAGGTTTATCTTCACAGATTTTTATTTGCTGATTAAAACCTATTTTTATTGCTGTCTTTAATTTCTACACAAAGAATTTATAGGTTCTTTCAAGAAGCCTCAGAGAACGCCTGGGAACCCAATGGCTACGGAGGGAAAGATAAATTCTAATTTATGACAATCCAGTCATGTAAAATCACAATAAAATACATGTAGAAGTTTGTAATAAGATCTGAACAGGAACTCACCTAAAAACAGACAAGACTATCCTTTAAGGGCCTCAGATTATGAAGAGCTACATCAGATCCATCTTATCAGTTCCTTTAACCTCTGAATACAAAATATCTTAAACCAATTCCTAAAGAAAATGTTCGTAATTGTAAGAAATGGTGTAGCACTAAAGGGAAGAGAATAGCTATAAGCACACAAAACCCTCCACACGGTAGTGCTGTCTAGTACTAGATTTGGAAAATTTGTACCATTCATCTGATTAAAATTATAAGGCTAAAGAAGGAACTATTTTGACATTGTCTGAGATCTTTAGTCAAAAGCATCCTGCAAAGTTAAGATACTATAATTTATTAACTGACGAAAACCCCTTAAGCAAAAATAAGAATAGGGTTTTTTTTCCTATTGCTTAATTAGGTTAACATTGTCTTTTTGCAATAAGGGAACAGTTAAATAGCTAGTAAATCTCTCCCTCTCAATGTGATAACATGTGGGAAATGTCTTTCCAGGATTCTTTCACCAGCAATATAATGACATGCCTTTGAAGAAGCCCTCAATATATGATCATAACTGATACATATGTAGAACCATTTGAATATGAGATGATTTTTATATTTATTTTTTTCACAGATCCTAGACCGTTAGCTTCTTCAGTAGTGAACTACTACAGCAATGGTTCGAAAACAGCCCTCTGTGATTAAGAGAAAACATACATGTTGCTTGCAACAATTTAAAGGCAGAATTTCTTCAGTGGCCTAGATACTCAGGTTAAAGATTTTTTTTTATCCTTCTTAAGCCAGTAGCATGGAATTGTACAACTCTGTCTCTACCTTACATGCCACATATTTAGCACACCATACCTTATTTTAAATGGATTCTCGCTCCCTCCCTTTAACTACAATGGACTGTCTCGGTTTCCCCACCAGGGAAAACTGCACTGCTTTCTTCTCCTGAGCCTTGCCTTGAGCAGATTTTCAGATCTCTCCAGTTCTTCACTTCTCATTTCTAAACCTGGTTTAGCTTTCCTCTTTTTCTAGCCAGATAATACTCTCTGCTGCAATGTGTAACTCCACCAGAAATGTTCTGGAAGAGGACTTTGTGTAAAAGCTGTTACACAAGAGGTGTCAGTGAGTGTTCAAAAGCAATGCATTGAATGGTACTATTTTGTCTCCAGACCAGGACGTACATGCAGTAATAATGGCTCTGCAGCATGAGGAGACACTGCCTCTGGACGAGGTTAGCTCCTGCCAGTCATGTTAGTGGATGTACCTTACCAACGTGGATTTTAGCTGCTATTTCACTGCTTCCCCAACAGACATCTCACTCATGGTACTACAGTGCTCAGCTACTGAATGTGCCATGTGTGCCATCCTGTATCATCTGCCACAGTTGCAAACCACTGCCTATTCCTCTGGTATTTATATGCACTGGCTCCAGAAAACTACTTTTTGACATCAGTCTGGGAAATAAACCCCCAACCAACTCATCAGGAATACTAGGTCAGGACAAAAGTCCATCCAGCTGAGCCCTCTTCTCATCAACACTGTCTTTAAGCAGACGTGGAAGGAAGACTAAGAGAAGGGCACGCACACACAATGCTCTCCCCTAATAACTTTCAGCTTCCAAATGTTTTGAGCTCAGGGACTTCCTAATCTGCATGACATTTTTGTTCATTTATTAATCTTCACTGGACTTCTCTTTTGTGAATTTGTCCAGTTTCCTCTTAAAACCATGTAAACTTTTAACCCTGACTACTTCCTTTGGCAACAAGTTCCAGACATGGAATACCGGTCGCATGAACCAGCATTTCCTTTTGCTTGTTTTGAATTTGGCTCTACAGGCTTCGTTCGATGCTCTAATTCCTGTGCAGTGAACACACTGCATTCCTGTGCAGGAATAGGCAGACAGCAGTCAATCCCCACCCACGCTCTT